GGCGCGACTGGCGGAGACGCCAACTAGCCGCCAAGGTCGTCAAGGAAGTCAGCGAAAGAGAGTCAAGTTGTGAAGTGTCACCTGCACGGTGACGATCGTGTCGTTGGTGAGGCCGACGAAGGTGGGGTGTGGAAGATTTGTGTAAAAGCCACTGGCGACTTAACCTTTGGGTTTTCAGCTGCGGGTCAAGTGGCACTTCGTAGCAATCATTGTCAGTCTGATGATAACGTGCAAAAGAGCTCGGCTCGAGCGAATTGGTATCTGAGATTAAATATGAAAGAAATTAAGAAAAAATTAGGGAGCTAGATGAATTATTCTCTTAATTAAATATAAGATAAGGCCTAGCAACTAAGGGAAATAAGCATATCGTCAAAAGATCAAATTATGTGTATTTGGAGAAAAGTAATTTTAGCTGCGAAAGTGATACCTATTTAAAGTGGAAAAACAAGATGTTATTATCTCTAATTTGGTCGCAGTTTCTTTTCGATGCATAAAAGTGGTCTGACCTCGTTTTCGAAACTATACAGTATTTGAAAATAAAAAAATTAGGAAGTTGTGATAGGGTGGGATTGTGACAAGAGGGTAATGAGTAGATAGATAGGCCAGGACAGAAAAGAGAGTGATAGCACAACCATTTTGGGAGAAAGTTGGCCAAGGGATTCATTTCACTTGTCTCTTGGGTGAGTTGTAGATTGGTTGTGAGAATGGCAAGAGTCACTGACGGTGCTGGCGAATCTTCTGGAATATATCAAGTCTACGGTCCGGCGCCGGAAATTATGATATTTTCTATAGCTGAGGACCTCGAATAAGGTGCGTCCAACTAAGTCGCCCTAACAACACTAACAGGATATATAAGCAAATATTGACAGAAATGAGTATTTTCGGGCTTTCGAATGCAAAACTTCGATATCCTTGCCAGAAGCTGAGCAAATATTAAAATAATACAAACTTTCAATTTGAACTACAGGAGCTGGGTTTTGAAGAATCCTTTAGTAGATTGGTATTTACATACCTTTCATTTTGTTTAAGGAGGCGGGCGGAAGGGATTAGTAGATTAGCCTGACCGGATACGGAATGAGGGAGTGTTTTTTTGGTAATTTTTTCGTGAATAAACGTTTCTGGATCTGGCGATATCAGTCACATGACGGACGAAAGCTTGGCACGGAGTCACCGAGGTCTTCTTCGCACAATTCAACAGGTCAAAGTCCAAAGCAACCCCACTTCGGTATTCGTGGAGAAGCCCTTGAGCCCGCCTCCTCAAAACGAAATGAAAGATATGCCGGAATATGAATTATGTTTTCAGTAATCTGTTAAATGTATCCGCGCTTATATCGAAAAAGGTGAAATACTTCAATATGCCTTTAGCTATGGTTACTAAAAAGATTAAATTCAAATTCTTACTGTATTCATCATGAGAAGAATTTCTATTCAGCTGCAGATCCATGGCAGCTGTGAGCCAATCATTGTAAAGGTGATAGTGGAGGAGGTTACGCACCAGTCTTTGTAGCTGGCTGGCATAGAAAGAGGTTAGAAAACGATCACGTTCCTGAAAAAGGAGAAAATAGGAGTAAGAAAAATTGATAGATCACGTACGCCAATTGTTTATTTTCACGACAATTAGACATGCGTGTGGGCAATGAGAATAATTATATTCAGAGAAAGTGATAGTTTGATGTAATGCGGCAACATGCTGAAATTATACACTTTACTGGCCGGGTTCGAGTCCCTTAGGAGAACTGATGAGACCCAAGCGAAGACGAAAACTTAGTTCCTTTTGAGAAGTATGAGGCCTACTCATGTGATTGTAGGAAAATTGAACTATCAATGCCCACATAAAGCCTAGGGTGACCAGAACTTTTGCTAGCGACAATAGCATGAGAACGTGAAATTCACGAATAAACGTTATTTTCTGTGAATTCAGAGGAAAAATTAATGGGTATGACAGAATAGGGCACTTTTGTAAATATTTTTTAATATACATGTATGAATGATTAGTAGATCTTATGTGCAAAATGTATTAGTAACATCCGAATCTGAACTCAATGTCAGAGAGTCAATATGAAGTAACGAAGTGAGAAGAACCAGTCGACCATGCAGAAGATGGTGAATGAGACAAGTGAGGCAATGACAACATTTGGTCAATCGGATCTCACCTCTGTAGAACTGAGCACGAGGAAGGTGGGCGAATAGGCCCAGTAGCCGGCCAGACAGTGTGGTCGGTTGATGGTGCGAGAGAAGATTTCCACCGCAATGTCGCGAAGTTCATAACGACGCTCAATGATGCGCTCAATGCCGAGTAAAGGCCAAACTATCAGGATACCAGTTGTCTCAAGGTCGTCATTGTACCAGGACAACCGTTCATCCGGACAACAGTGCCGAGGGGGCGAGGGTTTTACGACAGAATACTGAAAATGGCATTTTGGAAAAAAGTCTCTAACAGATGATTCTCTATAACATAAATACAAATAATGCAGTTAAAGGGTAAAAATAAACAAATCTTTCGCTGAACAAAATGATAAACAAGCATTCCGGTTGCCATGGGTAGATGAAATCAAGACGTATATACTAACATGAAGAAGATATTCGTAAGTTTATCTCAACAGAAGGGGATATCACCAGAGCTGGAAGTCATTCCTGTAAATGCGTTTTGCGTTTTTGAGAAGAGCCGGATAGTCTTCCCTGATTTGTTGTTTGCTAACTTTAGACTTTTATAAAAATGAATTCCAACTCTGATGATGTACATCATATCCTGGACCAAAGCTCAGCCCGAAACGAGGGAGGAGGTCTCGTGGACTGCATCAACTTGAACGTCGTATCAAAGCCAAACGGCTGCAGTACAACGGGATTCAGACGTCCTCTTCTGATGAGATCTACCTACGAATCTCTTCTTCATACACTTTCATACGAAATGAAAGTCCCCCCAACAATGTTTTCTCAGGAGATTCATCGAAACCCAATTTCTCTTCGTATCAGTAATTTTCTTATGCAGTACAAGCAAAAGCGTATATGCTTATTGTAAAATAGTAACAACAAAAGAGGGATATTTAAAAAAAAGTTTCAAGTAATACCAAATAGCTACCAATTTATGCATATCTACACATTTTAATTCTTTTATGGCGGTGAGTATATGTAATGTGATTTTGTGCAAAA